ATGAATAACTGCATTCCAGAGAATGATTCAAGTTTTCATGAAATGTTTTAGACTGAATAAGGATTTGATTCTGTGCGTTGTAGGGTCTCTGTTCCAGTCATGGTTTTAGCTTTACAAAACGGGTGTTTTTATTCACTTGTGCTGACACTGAAGGTAAAAATTCCTCTGATCTCTTTGTGGTTACAATCGCATTGCTGTCCCTTGGCAGCACTCAAAAGCTTTTGTGACTCACACAAAGAAAAAGAGAGAGAAATCTTTAATAAATATTAGAGAATAAATTCTAATTTGCAGTTAGACACCGTTAGCAGTAAAAATACACTTTATAAGAATCTTTAATATAACAAATTATTACAGAGCTGTAAGCATCATGGGTCTGATGTACAGTTAGAACTCACGAAACTATTTTTTAACAGTTTTGAAATTTGTGAACAATCTAAGCCTGATTCTTTGATCTAACATTCATCAAATAAAATGTGTTTTAAGAATAAAGGTTAAGTTTTTTGTAAGAAAAAAAATGAGGTGGTGACTGAATGGAAATTATTTTTTTGATCTAAGTTAAAAACAAAATGACACCCTTTATTCAAAACAGCCTTTTAGTTTTTGTAAGAATTATCAGGTTGAAATGATCCCTGTCGTTTATAGGGCTCCACACATCAAACCTGCTTCCTTACAGCTACAAAATGAACCAATACACTCAAAATTTAATGATGACAATACAAGTATGGTCAAGTGTTGACAAGCATTGTCATTAAAGAGTCTGTGACATCAGATTTCCTTAGAAATACAAATGCATTTTTGGAAAGATAACAGATAGCAAAAAAAAAAAAAAAATCAGGAAGTGATGACAATGGGGAACACATGTATGTAACCACCTGCATGTAAACAGAACTCACTACAATGGCCAACAACACAGACAGGAGAAGAATAGAAGAATCTGAGGGGTTTTTTTATTATTATTTTGAGTCACTATTAGAGAGACAAACAATTATTTCAATAAATAAATGAGTTCCCTTTTGTCGTATCTCTGTTTTACTTGGACTACTCCAAGTTTTAAAAAAGCCAGTTCTGTGACAAAATGAGTAAAATCCTGTGTATTGTGCTAAATTCCTTAAATGTTAGGACATTTTTTCCACCTGTTGTATTTATAGGAAATGCCTACTCATGTTCACGAATAATCTATATTCTCCACCTGCATGTTCAGTAATTTCTTGGTGTGTTTTTGTAATTATGTGTAGTTTGTAACATGAGTGCTGGTAAGTACAAAAACAAAATGAGACCAGAATACAATTATTTCTCTGTGCAACATGTTTTTTTTTAGCAACAGGTAATGCAAAAATGTGGACAGAGCTGTTAAGTTGGTGCTGCCTTTTTGGAGACACAAAACTGAGAATATGAGTGAACTTTTGTGAAGAATCAATAAAAAACTTGAAAATTTTGAATCAAAGCTTGTCGGAAGTTTGCAAACATATCAGCCCCAAAAATACAACTCAAGACCTTTCAAGAAATAGAGAAAGTGAAAAGAGTTATAGAGAAAATATAAACTTAAAGAGTAACTTACCCCAAAATTGACTTTTCTTAGCTGATAAACTGTCTAGAATGTGTCTAAAATGTTATATTGTACTGTTTCTGTGCTAATTTTGATGTTTTTGTGTGTATTTGTTCAAATCTGTAATATTTGGTCTAAAAACGTGTTTTTGCTGCTCATATGGGTAGAGCAGTGGTACTGCAGACTAATTTACATATTGGTTAACGGCTCT